AAAAAAAAGCAATAAAATTTGATAGAATATATATTTTTCATATTGCAGAATAATTGATTATATTAATCGTGAAACATTTAAATAAAACATTAATAAGACTAAAATGATGGCTATAAAAGTTGAAAACAAGATAAATTTAACAAACTGATTCTTATGTTTTACATAGTATTTGATTACTTGAATAAATAAAGGAATAAATTTTAGTGTATAAAATTGTTGATATTATTTGATATTGATGAAGTCATTTTGAAAAACAAGTAAGGAAAAAAGAAATGAAAATATTGAAATTTATTACAGATTTCTCAACAAACAGGCAGCGAACATCTGTTTTAATTTCTTTAATTTTTGCGTTTTTGTTTCGTTTTCTTTTGCTTTTGATTTTAATGGCGTTTTAAAAAATCCGCCATTACAATATTATTTTCGCGAACCCCCTTTGCAAACACTGCGAACCCCCAGGGGTTCGCGAACCACCGGTTGGGAATCACTGATCTAGACCTTTACCAAAAAAAAAAATTAATATAGAACGCAATTAGTAGAATGTGATACCACAGGTTTGGCCTGTAATTATGTCTCAATATTGGCGACATTCCTTTCAGGTTTCTTATAAACAGCATTAAGGTGCAAATTATTTTTATCCCGCAATATCACATCATAATTTAGACAGCAAGTTAAAATATGCATTAAGAACTTTCAGTTGTTTTGTTATGCGTGCGAATATTCCGGCATCTTTAATTGCTATTTAACGGATTAATGTTGATACTACAAGAGATAATTGCTGAAATTCTAGGGCGACTTAGCGCAGCGTTCACTTTAAATTCACTTTTCAAATGGCGCGACACAACTTAACCGGCCACGTTGTTCTGCTTTTGGTACCGTACATGTAACGGAACGTATTACGACACAATGCAACGTTATTATAATAACAACGTAATACCTTACGTTGAATCAATTAACCATAACATTTACATGCAATTTTATACGCATTTACATTCATAAACATTACTGGCATTGACTGATTTTGAGTTATTATATGTTACTACAATTTAGTCTAAGTTTAACAGAAATTTAACGATTTAAAATGCTTTCCAGACGGTTAAAAACACTACACCCACTTCAATGAAAACTATAATATGTAACGTGGAAATTGTAATAAGTTGTTATTTAACTAAATTTCAACTGATATTATGGAAGACAATGCTAAAGGAATACTCAATAAATTGATATTAGGAAATTCAAAGTTGTGCAGGGAAAATGGTGAAAATAAGATGTGCGGAGATAATAAGAGGGGATAATATGAGAAAAATTGACAAATCGATGTATGTGGTACCTATGCATGAAAGGTTTGTTATGGGAGCATTGGTAGCGTAATAATGAACCAGATTATATGAAACTGAAAATTTAGACGTAACAGCAAGGTTTAGAATAGGAAATGAAAGAAGAGTATGTAAGTATTATATGAAGAATGAAGAAAGGATATGTAGAACATGTACAAGAGGTAATGAAACTTTGACTCGTGCTAGAGGGGATGTATGAAAGTAAGGGTTTCGGAGAAGGCAAAGGAATAATAAATGGATATGAAAAGAAACAGATCCTACCTATTAAGAACGATTGTAAATATATGTTAGAATGGGTTAAATAAATAGTAGGGGCTGAAAAAAAAAATTGAATAAACCTGTTTAAAAGAAAAAAGGAGAGGATGCAATAGCAAAGTAAAGAATGTAAATTCAGGATACAAAAAGTAGAGAGAAGTTGAAGAGTGTGAAAATAAAATTGAAACTCTGATACAGGTGTTGGAAGGATGTGTTGAGAACAAAGGATTGGATGATTGTAGATACAGAGTCCATGATAGTAACAATAGGATAGATGTTTAAGGGAAAACTTCTTAAAAAAAAAAGGGATTGCAAGTCAACGATTTATAAAAAAAGTTGAAAAAGTGAGAGAAAAATAGTTTAAAAAAGTTTCTTAATGTACTTATGTACACAAATAACCTACAGTTTATACATTTTCTTATTATTATTATAAGATTTAGAGTTTTACCATTGTCAAATTTATATCACTTAAGACAAACAGGCTTTTTTAGGAAAGACCCACAGTTTTTCTTGGGATAGATTATGTAATTTTTGCAAGGATTATCTTTCCTCTTAGAGCGCATTACCTTCTCCCTAAAGAGCATAGAAAACGATTTATTAAAAACACTTCATGGCGGTGGAAAAATAATGTTGATCCCTAAAATTTGTTGAATTCATAAATTGGTTATTATAAAAAAATTGGATAATTAAAAAATGTCATGGTATTTTGTAGGGTTCCATACCTATAAATCAACAAAGGGAGGTTTCACGTCAAAAGGTTACATAAGACATATCTAACTAAAAAAAGGATCCGAGAGAATCAATGATATCTAAAAATATAGATTAAAAATTATAAAGCCTGTAATGCATGCGCAAATATACAGTATCTTACAGATAAACTACACACCCTCATAAAAGTCAACATGAAATGCTCTACTAATTTTAGAAACAGTGTTTCCCATAATCATTTTTAGATTAATCTCGCGATTGTAAGCAAAACGAATTTAACGGAAACATAACCATTAATAACACTATTATACCAACCATATGTTATGGTTTTGCTTATGCGTATTTCCAACAATGTGTTAGATAATTATATACATAGATATACGTGTACATTACGCAACTGCGATAGGTTAATTTTCTCTTTCAAGTATAAATGTTATTAATGGTCATCAGAGAAATTATTATAAAAAAATTTCTCTTCCTCAATTTGTTTTCACTATCAGTCTTCCCTAGGTAGAGAACAATGTGCAAAAAATATATCTTTTTACAATAAATATGCATACAGGATACAGACATAGGACTGTGGAGTAAAGAGATTCCATACAATACATAAAATACTTAATAATAGATAGGTACAGTATATTTCAATTTGTTAGAATTGTGACCTTGAAGAAATCTGCGCGAAGATAGAAAGAATATACACTAGGCGTGAACAAGGAGATCGGCTAGAACTTTACAGTAGTAGACGAAAATGTTTAGCAATTTCTTAAAACAAAAATGTATATAAATTAACAATAGAAAACAAAGCAAAGTTTTATAGGTGTGTAGAACGTTAAGTTAATTCACTTTTTATTATTTTTGGCTAAATATGCTTTTAAATAAAGCATATTCTTAAATTTTAACGAGGCAGTTTAAATAATTTTGCAAATGGTACTGTACACTTTTATCTAGTTCTCGCTCAATGATCGGTGGAGAAATAAAGGGAAGGGGCATATCTCTAACTTCTTGAAACAAACAGTACCTATATCTATATTTTATTAATGTACTAAATAAACTTGTTCAAATTTGGACATATAGGTAGGTACCATTGTCATTACTACTAATCATGGCGATCCCTCGTACCATAACCTATTCTAAATCCTTGCTCAAATAATATAAGTACTTTAAACGTCAAACTTTTTTGCAATTTTTTAGTTCCACCACGAATGCATGAAAATTTATAAAGTAGGTCATTTAGTTAGTTTCATCTTTTTGATTAAATGGTATAATAATCAGTTAACTCTTGAATATCGTATCATCACCTGTATCAGTTACACCGACTTCTGTTACAAGGCAAAAACGCGTTGTTTGTTATTTTTTATTCATTAATAATTTTGAAACCGCTTAATAAAATCGGATGAAATTTTACAAAACTCAAGTTTAAAATCTAAATCGAATGTTTTTTTGACAATTCACGCATTCCTTGCAGCTGTTCTGCAATTCATAACCGAAAAGTAAAATTATTAACCATTGTTTCCACGCCTAATTGATTGATAAACAAATATACAAATATCCATACGGTAGAGAATTATTATATGTCGAAGTAAGCGCAATGTAGTCAATACAACATGTTAGACAGGGAAAGTAGTTGTAGTAGCAGCCGATTTTTAACATCTGCTTTGCAGTTATTTTCGAGAAAGGAGAGAGTGCAAACTAAAAAGTTGATGCTATTTTAGGCACATGTCATCGTCGAAGATATACACACAGGTCCGTTGAGATGAACCGAGTAACATGATATAAGTTAATGTTCCTTAGAATCAAAATTTCTAAAACTAGAAACCACACCCAGCAACTCCTTTCTATAATATATTTTTAGACACCTAATTAAAAGATGAACGCATTTATTACATCAGGGGTTAATAGATTATAAAAAATGAACCCTGCGTCTAATAAAACGTTATTGTTTCTTTTCTTGTTTCAGAAAAATCACGATTACAGCTTTAGCTACGGGGTAAAGGACCTTCATTCGGGTGACGTCAAACAGCAGTGGGAAAAGAAAGAGGGTGATACTGTTAAGGGAAGTTATTCGTTGATTGAACCCGACGGAAGAGTAAGGATTGTCGACTACCATGCCGATAAGGAAAACGGCTTCACTGCAACAGTTAAGCATAAGGGGGTTGCTAAACATCCGGTTGACAAGCACGCCCAAGGATATTCAGCCGACCACGAAGACGACAAGCCAATAAGTCATAACGAGTTTAATATCAAACCAGGCACTCCTGTGGTTCATTACAATCATGCTACTACTAACAGCGAAGATACAAGTTCTTATTATGCCAAAGATACCCACGACCCCGCAAAGTACGAAATAAAGTACTTTTACCCATCAGAAGTAAAAAAATATCAGGAAGCTTTGGCAGCCCAACAACAATATTACCAATCTAGAGACGCTCATCCCGTTACAGAAGAGCAAGAAGAAGGCGGAGACGAACAAGAGCAAGAAGAAGGTGAACAACATGGAAACGAAAGTCAAGAGAAGCAGGTCCATTACTATATCCCTCAGACTTTTGAAAGTAATGAAGGAAAGTCAGAAAAAAACACCAACATTCCTCAGGCATATCTGGACGCTTCGGAGACCCAGTTACAACCCCAATCTATTCCTTTGGATTTAACGTATGTGAAACAAGCTGGATCTGCCCAAACCCCAATTGGTGTAAATTTATTAAATTCATTTCGTCAAACTTCGTCTTATCAACAACCGAGAACTCCCTCAGTAGCTACTAGCAAATTAAACAAAGACGAAAATTCTCAAAAACTTTTAAAAGATGTTTACGCAGCTATAAAAAATGCTTATGACTTTTCCCCTCCTCAGTTAGAAAACGGGTTCAAACCTTTAGGAAAGAAAGTCGAAGAAAGTAGTGCTGTTAAAATTACACCTGCTTCTACTTCTTTAGGACTCGGACAATACTCAAATCTGAATGTAGGGGAGGTTACAAAATTCACTAGTGCTACTCCCTCGAAAGAACAAAAGCTGTATTATCTGCCCTCGTTTTATGAAAGTGCCAAAAATTTACGAACACAAAATATCCACAATACGTTCAAATCGAGGTCTTCTAGACATGGCAGGCCAACAGGCAGAGTCGGAAAGGCCCCTAGAAATTTGAAACCGAAGTAATGAATCAATGCATTGAAAAAAACAACGAAAAAAGAAAAAGAAGAAGAATCGAAAGGAACTAACGTAAAATTTAGAGAAAGATTAGTTTAATGTCAATTTCTCATTATTTCAACTAAATATTTATATTTATGATATGAACACTAGTTTCAATAGCCTAATACCACAAAATTCTGTTCATTCTGGCAAACTCCAAAATATCACAATGCGAGTGTTCCAATTTGTTTTCTAAATATTTCACAACTACCTATGTGAGAATTTAAAGCAACTACAAGAAATAACAAATTTCGATTAACTTTATACTTTGATTTTGCCCATGAAATACTAAAGTACTACTATATTTAAACTGTATCACTTTGGCCATGTTATGAGAATTACGAGGAATTTTTTTTTTTTATTTATTAAGCCAGAAAAATTACAAGTAATTTAATCACAAAAAATTTGCAATTATTTATTTTTGCAGGAGTTTTAATACTTTTATGTAATTTACTGTAACATTTACATGTAACTATGAATTTGTCGATTGTCTTTATTGTAATTTTGACAAAGCACTACACATCTATTTCATAAGAGTTGCATTCCGTACCGTCCACAATGCATTATTATATTTCCTCATTATCACAACGCGTCGTAATCATAGATTTAAAAAATCACAGTATCAATTTCACATCACAGCTTTTTATCAATTTATCAAAATACTATGTATGATTAGCTAGAACAAAAAGGAGAATGCAAATTTGCATCAAAATGATCTATACTAATTATTTGTGAATCGTTTGTGATAAATGATTCTGTTTATGACTATTTACTTAATTAATTGATAACTAATTTATCAATAAAGGTGTTTACTTTAAGCTAACATTTTATTAAAATTAATTGGAAAACGTTTGTGAATTTGGAATATAAAAAGGAAAATATTAAATGCTTATTTTTTAAAATAAATTTAATTTTTCAATGCTCTGTAGTGTAACCATAAGTAATCTTATAGTGAAAGTGTCATGTTGCTGTTGTTGTAATTTTCTCTATAGGATTACTTATGGTTACACTGAAGGGCACTGTTTTTCTTCGAAAAATATACATTAACAAACGATTTCCAATAGATTGGATGTTGGCTAATACTATATAAACTCTTAATTAATACATTAATCACCAATTAACTAAATAGTCACGAACACAATCATTTGTCGCAAACGTTTACTAACGATTGGCATAGATAGAATTTTGTATTTTCTATTGGCTATTTATACATAGACCAAAATATATTTTGTGAATCACGGCACGAATTTCGCATTGTGGAAGAACCTCAGCAGCAACGATGCTTTGTGATCAATTTTTTCATTCAATGAACCTCTTCGATCTTTGAACCTTATATTTTTAGTTTAAAATCATGTTTACCGTGTCCTTTTAATGAACGTTTTCTTGGAATTTTGCCGAGGCTGTAGGTTACACCCTTTTTACCTGTGAATTTGTAACTATGTACCTTAATTGTGCAATAATTATATATATGTAAGCANAAGTCCCCAATAAATAATGCACACTAGAGGCATATCGTTTTTCTCGTTCTTACAAACGGAAGATATCCTGTCTTTACTCTCTAAACACGCCTCCTCCACAGCTGCGTCGAGACCTGCACCTACGTTTCATAAGAATCAATCGAATAAAATGAGACGATCGACAACATGCTTGTCTTGTCATTTGTACCTACACAAAATGTGCAAATTTACAGGGTCGGCTTAATTTAGTTGGTGTATTTATGCGAATAGTCTCTCTACATATATCGTTTAAAGAAACTAATTAACTGTATTACACTTGCAACACATTGTTTACTAATTTTATCGAAGAAATACGGTGAAATTTAATGTACCCATCGAACAACTTGACAATATGTTCTGTAAGTAGAAAGTGGTTTTCTTCGGTATCAAATAAAGCTCACGTACCTACCATGCCACGGGTAACGGGGTAACTGAAGAAAGTTAGTCCTCTCAGTTATTTACGATGCTGCTAAAATATGCAGGTGCACCTTTCTTAAGAACGTGCATCGTAAGATTACGATTTAATCTCGAAAAGATAGATATATCGTGACCTGCATAACTACATTGTCACAACTTTCATTATCGTAAAAATAGAACGAAAAGTACGGAGCTTACATTTAAATTCACCCGCGTAGTTCAGACTTACTTCTGAATTAATATGTTAATCACTTAATTTCCTTAAATCTCTTCCAAATTACTCTTTAACGAAGGATAATTAAAAAAAAACACCAAAAAAATTAATTTGACAAAAATTCTTCTATTTCCCCTTAATCCTTGCAAAAGATTATGTAAAAACTGGATTCAAATTACTGCTTACATGAAATACTGTAATAATTAAATCAATTAATAATAATCAATCAATTAATCAATGCTAACCAAGAGCTTGTCCAATTTCATAGTAACAGACAGACTGTAAAATAAAAGTATATGCTAAATTTTATTGAGGTAACTAGGCTAAAACATAATCAAAACATTTTTAGTACGTACACGTTTGATTTCAGAATTTATTTAAGCATTTTCTGTTGTTAAAAATGTGTTTTCAAAGTAACGCTTTTTGAAGAAATTCGTTTCGCAAACGTCACCGGTAGCGCCATCGCGACGGTAGGGCTGCGCAACTATTGGTGTCTCTGATATTCTCATCGTAACATTGCATTAACTTTCATAAGTCAATACTAAATAAATACTATATTTGTAAGCACGACAGGAATAAAAAGAAGGGCAGTAAGCGTTCATGTCGTTTATCGGAGTGTAAAAATATGTCGAAAACGAAAACTCAGAGTTCACATTTTTGGTGTATTCCGAAATATAATCCAGGATACTGGCCAGTAATGATGACGTCATGAATCGACGCCATACTGTTGATTCGTTCCGAAATATACTGGCCAGTGCGTTGTGGTCAAATTGACGCCATATTGAGAATAGTGCTTGTGCTCGTTTACAACAATTTTGCTCTAAAAGTTATTAAAGTTTCTTACAATAAAAAATTCCTTAAAGTCTGATGCACACACGCCTGTTGGATATACTACTACATCACACTTGTCTTACCAGTACAATATGGTGGCACACCAGTACAATATGGCGTCGATTCATGACGTTATCAGCGCTGGCCAGTATGCTGGGTTATATTTTGGAACACATCCTTTATATATTTTCGAATCGCAAGTGGGAGGTTAGAAGAAAGTAAAACTGAATTATTTCTGTTCGTCGAGCACCATAAAAGTTAAATTAAATGCGTGATAATAATCTATATCAACGTTCGTAAGAACGAGAAAAACGATATGCCTTTAGTGTGCATTATTTATTGGGGACTTTGCCTTCTTATTTCGACTGTACTATACAAACCATTCTTTNCATTTACAGTGTTATTACTGTCTTTAACAGAAAACCATTTAAAATTTTCATCAAAAATTACACAAATCTAGGTGGTTTTACTAACCTATTCACAAGGTCTACCTTTCTATTACTACATGACGCGCATCTCCTTTTCAATTCTGACATAAGATGGTGTTATTTCCATATGCAACACATTGCACAGGAAGGAAAGTACTAATTAAATTCCTTAATAATAAATTGCTTAACCTCAAACAAAATTTTGTTTCCCATTAGGTCTGCGTTGATGAATACTTCCAACTAAAACATTATTTCGATTGGGTAGCTTCATTTCATTAGTTTTATAGTAATTAGATCAAAATTGGTATGCTTCTTCAGTCTCGACCAAAGTTCTTATTTGTATAAGTGTATACTATTCTTCTCAAACATGCATCATGCAACATTGAATAATATAATAAACTTACAGCTTTTCTTAACTTAAGTATAATTTTAATTTGAGAACTAGAATTTTAATTTCCCTTGAATGATTGTTAGTTCCAAATTACGATATGAAGGATTACTGAGAATGACAGAGAAATAAGAATAAATTTTATATTTTCACCTTCTTGAAAATTTCTTTATGAGCGTTTATTGGTTTTATCCGACTTCACTAGACTTCAAATGCGCTCCGATTGATGACGCACTAAATCGTGTTTACTCCAGTCGTCTTCAGTAACGTTTCGTTTGTAATCAGTATTTACCATAGACATAGAGAATGGACTGAGCAATACCCTCATGAAATTGATCACTCTCTAGAAAGAAAGAAAACGACCTTTCGGCGAATACCTGTTTCTTTCCCTCATTCCTCCGCTCCTGCAAGACTGTGACGTGAACCAATCAAAATTCTAGAAAAAAGATGACTACTGGCCGCATGATCGTTTTGTCTCTCTCAGACGTTTCCGCCTGTAGTTACTTTATAGCTAGATAGAGAAAGCGCAGTCCATTCTCAAGGTCTATGGTATTGATAGTGTCGAAATTCACTATTGCGTTTGACAGTTCTGGTGTGTTCCGAAATATAATCCAGCATACTGACCAGTAATGATGACGTCATGAATCGACGCCATACTGTTGATTCGTTCCCAAATATACTGGCCAGTGCGTTGTGGTCAAATTGACGCCATATTGAGAGTAGTGTTTGTGCTCGTTTACAACAATTTTGCTCCAAAAGTTATTAATTTTCTTACAATAAGAAATTCCTCAAAGTCTGATGCACACACGCCTGTTGGATATACTACTACATCACACTTGTCTTACCAGTACAATATGGTGGCACACCAGTACAATATGGCGTCGATTCATGACGTTATCAGCGCTGGCCAGTATGCTGGGTTATATTTTGGAACACACCCTTTATATATTTTCGAATCGCAAGTGGGAGGTTAGAAGAAAGTAAAACTGAATTATTTCTGTTCGTCGAGCACCATAAAAGTTAAATTAAATGCGTGATAATAATCTATATCAACGTTCGTAAGAACGAGAAAAACGATATGCCTTTAGTGTGCATTATTTATTGGGGACTTTGCCTTCTTATTTCGACTGTACTATACCTACTTTATTTTTATGCTAACGAAAAGATTAGAAGT